ATGGTTCTCAGCCATTCATGCTACCATCCCTTAGTAACTTCTGCTATGTCTTTTTCATCTCGTCTAGCTGCTATGCTTTCAAGCAGCTAAGAAAATGTTTTGCAACTCTGAGCTATTATGGCAGATCCAAATTAGTGACAGTGATTTTCCTGTTAGACTGAGGTATTGAGAAAACTATCATCGATGCACGGGTTTGTGATTTCCACTGGTGGAGGTATTGTTGTTCGGCCTATTAACTGGTAAATAGTTTGGACACGTGACGGTTTCTAATTGCTATGTTGGTCGTTTGTTGTTTAGTGAGATTCCTCCTGTTCAATTGTAGGAAATATATGCAGAACGGGATTAGCATCTGGCTGGACGTGCCATTGGAAGCCTTGGCAAAAAGAATTGCTGCAGTAGGTACCGACTCACGCCCCCTCTTGCATAATGAGTCGGGCAATGGCTACACAAAGGTCCAATCATCCAGTCAATGTTTTTACTTATTTAGTTGTGATGCTTGATCCTAATACATCTTTTAATCTTCTGATTCTCACTCAGGCTTTCAGACGATTGTCAATTCTTCTGGAGGAGAGGGGCGATGCATATACCAACGCCAATGTCAAAGTTTGTTTAGGAAGTATGAATGAAATAAGAACATCTTCATATTCCTCTGTCTGTCTAGAAAAAAGAGAGTAGTAGAAAGTTAATAACATGATTTTTTTTCTCCATTCATTCTCAAGTTACAATGAATGTTTGTTATTTCTATATCTTCTTCTGTTTAAGCACAGGTTTTTGTTAACATTGCAGGTCTTGCAGCCAAACTGGGTTTGTCAGATGTATGTAATCTGACCCCTGCAGATATTGCTTTAGAGGTCCTTCTCTTTCTGCCTCCTCATTTATCTTTGTTCATGTTATGCATGATGATTAAACAAACGATCCAATTTGTTTTGAATTAAATTATTTTTCCTCCTTCGCAGGCGCTTGTACAAATCCAGCACTTTGTGGAGCAGGAAGATGGTTATTGTACAAGTTAAGACTACTGCAGATCATCATCCGGAGTTTAAAGCCTCCTCTCTTCTTAAAGAAGCATGGAATGGCATTGCTTCTACTCTTGCCAATTGTATAACATGGGATCATCAGGTATGAATAACCACTTGGATGGAACGTCGTCAGTGTTATAAGTGTATCTATCAAAATTTTGAGACAAATAAAGTCTTCTTTTTTCTTATTTTCTGGGATAATGTATGAGATTTATAGTCCATTGCATTTGAAAAAAAAAAAAAAAAGGCAGCTTTTCAAGTTTTAATTTATATTTCATTTTATTTTTTTATGTGTGCATGGGCCGTTGCATTTTAAATAAAATCAAATTTATGCATTTTTATTTTTTATGGAGTTTGACTACCATCTTAGATTTTTCTTATTTTAAGCGTTATTGAAGTAATATATGAGTGTAGTGTACAGGAATTGAAAATATTTTATCTTAAATTTCATTGCAATATTGATCAGAAATTTCTCATTTTCCTTAATTCTAAGGTAAAAAAACAATTTTACGTTGGTTCAATCAATTAAAATCATAAACTAATATTAATATTTATGTAGTTTAAAAAGTCATAACTAACTAAGTTCTCTTCATTTCATTTAAAATCAACTTAAAATTAACAAAGTAAAAATATTATTTTCTTAAAAAAAAATTCAAAGTAATAAATCATAGGAACATAAAATTATATACATGTATTAGTACACGAAGAGCTATAACGTATAAGAAATTAATTTAAATTTTATTAATCAATTAAATAAAATAATCTTTTTTTAGTTCCTTATAATTTAATAGTTAAAAATTATCAAAAACATTTTTATCTATGCAGCTATTTTATCAAGAAAAATCACAGGTTAAAGATAAACTTTATCGAATCTCCTAATAGAAATAAAATAATATTTTAAATCAAATTATCTAATTATATATACAAATATTCAATCATGTAATTAAAGCATATCAAATCATCTCATTCGATATATAATAATCATAATAATAAAAGAAATAATTACATCATTAGACATATAAATAAAAATATACAAATTAACAAACAGAGTGGGGACAGGGACGAGGATTTTTTTCTCTCCCCACCCTTATTTCCCACTAAAATAATGAACATCAAGATATTTTTGTGGGCCGATCATATTTTTAGCCTAACTACAAAATTATTATTTAAAGGAGGTTTTCGTAGAGGTTAGGAATCACAAGTCTCTATAATGATATGATATTATCTCCTTTGAATATAAGCTATCATGGCTTTATTTGGGCTTCCCAAAAGGCCTCATACCAATTAAGCTAGTATTTTTTTGTTTATAAATTTATGGTCATTCTCTAAATTAGCAGAGGTGGGACTGTCATTATCATGGCTTTATTTGGGCTTCCCAAAAGGCCTCATACCAATTAAGCTAGTATTTTTTTGTTTATAAATTTATGGTCATTATCTAAATTAGCAGAGGTGGGACTGTCATCATCCAAACACATAAAAAGTGAATTTAGTTGTATAATATAGTATATTATGTGTGTTATATTTACCAATTTTTATGTAATCAAGTCACGCTTCAATCATACAAATTGTTCAAACAAGTTATATATTGAATTTATATATACATACTTCATACCTCTGATTTGGGCGGAGATTTCAAACGTCATCGGACCAGTCGCCGGGATTGATTTCGTAGAAAAGGCCGTCCACGATCTGGTCAATAAGCGAATCGATGAAGGTGTTGCAGCCGATGCTGAAGATTCGACCTACTCTGTTTCGGGCGTTGGAGGAGAAAGCGAAAATGGCCGCCATAATGACAGCGCCCAAACAGATTCCTGCTGCTTCCTCAATACCTTCCAAATCCATCTTTCTGAACACTGAATTTCCCGTCAACACCTCCATTGTTACGGTCGCCGCAAACACAATCTGCAAATTAATTGGATTCTGAGATGTCCTTGTGGCGATAATTTTAGGTATCGTAATTTGTGATGTTTCCGAAGGTGATTGATGAAGTTCGTGATATTTAATTTGATTAAAAACTATTCACAGCAGGAATCAGTAAGAGGTTATTTCAGTTCCTAATTGTCGATTTCGAAACATGATAGATATTTTGATGTATACGAAAACGAATTTTCATTTCAATATGAAACCTAGAACTCACCATGGCGAGACGACCGGAGATGATTTCGAATTCATGGCTGTCCTTCGAGGTCTTTATGTACTCAGACAGAGTCGCGAAGAACGGAGAAACGTCGGCGTCGTCGTCGCCTACTCTCTTAGCTTTGATAGGAACAATCGGATCCGATCCGAAGGATCTGAGAGTGCATAAGCGGGGCTGTAGAACGATCTTTGGGCTCTCTGCGGACTTTAGTTTAGGAACTGAAACGGAAGCGGGCGGTAAGCTGGTCGGGACGTCAGGCAAGGAGGATCGAAACTGGCAGTGAAGAGAACATGCCGGCGCCGCCATGGGAGAGATGTGGGCTTGAAGGAATGTGCAGTGGAGGGATTGAATAGGAGGAGGGATAGGACTGTTCGTGGCGGCGGGGTTTCATTTCAGTTGGGTGACGACACACGCAACCTATCTCCCAACAAAATATTAATAATAATAATAATATCTCAAATAGTGTACTTTGTCTAAGGAGAGTATTGTTGATAATTACCGAGAATGAGTGTTACTTTATTTAATTTAGTAAAAGATCATAGGTTTATAAGGGAGGAATACTATTTCTGGTACGAGGTTTTTTGAGCCATTGGTTAATTTATTGGAAGATCATGGGTCATTTGGGCCATTGGTTAATTTAGTGAGAGATCATGGGCCATTGGCATCATTGAGACGAGGTTAAGATCATGGGTTTATAAGTGAGGAATACTATCTCTGGTTATGGGTCATTGGTTCTCCATTGGTATGAGATTTTTTGGGACATTGGTTAATTTAATGGAAGATCATAAGTTTTTGAGCCATTGATTAATTTAGTGGAAGATCATGGGTCATTGGTTCTCCATTGGTATGAGGTTTGAGCCATTGGTTAATTTAGTGGAAGATCATGGGTCATTGGTTCTCCATTGGTATGAGGTTTTTTGGGACATTGGTTAATTTAATGGAATCATAAGTCATTGGTTAATTTAGGGGAAGATCATGAGTTTATAAGTGAGAAATACCATCTCTTTGGTGAGGCCTTCTGAAAAAGCCCAAAAAAATATTCTTTTATTATCATTCATCTAAAATTTGTATCGATTCAAGAATAAATATGTAACGTAGCATAAATTGCAACATTTTATAATAATTTGAATAACATTTTATTCACATTTTTCTCAAAATTTATGTTACATAATTGATGTCTTGGTTTATATCATTGAATAACATTTTATTCACATTTTTCTCAAAATTTATGTTACATAATTGATGTCTTGGTTTATATCACGTGATATGAAGCCAAGATGAGTGAGATGCATGGTGAGATCACAAATTTGCATGCCCATATCACACATTACCTCCAATGCAAACCATGTGGTAAAGCATACAAACCAGACAAAACAGGATTATGGTTTTGAAAGATAATTGAACCAATCAGACTTAAATGCAGCATCCAAAAACCCCTTCCACCTCAGATTGGACCTTAAAGTAAAAAAAAAAAAAAAAAAAAAAAAAAAAAAAGTGTTCGTTTTCTACTAGATTAAACTAATTTTATAACCAAAAGAAAAGAAAGAAAAACAGTGTAAAAATATAATAAAATGGGGAGAAAGACAAATAAAAAAGAGTTTTAATGCTTTCTTTATATATTTTATAATTATAAAACAATTTTTGAATGACAATAAAATTGGAAAGAAAAAAAAGGTAAAAGTCGAAAATTTAAGATAAAAATGGTAATATTTTACAAACATTTATGAAGTAAGAGGGGTAAGAAGAGGGAAGAATCTGTTGCATGTAACGCCAGAGGGGTGGCTGTGGAGGGGCAGAATAAGCGCGCCGCTTGTACCGACATTCAGAACCCTCAATTTTGGGTCCAAAACAAATACTTCAACTCAAACTCAAATGATTAAGTGACATTACGTTCTTCAATGAAATCTTCAAAGCTTAAGAAAAATTAGAGAAATGATGGGAGATTATTTCCCAAAGCATTCAAGATTTCTACCATATGATCCAACTTCCAAAGTTTTCAAGGAGGACACACAAGGAACTTTCATTACCTCAGCATTCACCACTTGCATGTTCCTTCTGAAACACAAGCAGTAGGGATGAGAGACAAATTTGGAAGTTTCTACAAAATCAGTCTTCGAACACTTGCCTCCCCCCCTCCGTCATGGCATGCCTTTGGCTTCCATCCAAAATAGTGTACCATAAGAAGGGACAAAATGTAACCATGTTAATTAACAATTTAGAAGTGTTACAGATTAACATCACATTGGCCTATCGCAACCGTGGGTGATATTATCTCTAAATGAGCACTTAATGTACCGAGAGACAGAATCTAGCTACATACAGGGCAGTGAAAAGTTGAACAAGAAGGAAGGATTATGAGTGAGTTACATACAGCGTGGGAAAAAGGTTGGCCCCACGTAACCCCCAGCCATAGCCCTTCTCACATTAGATTCGAATAACTTCGGATTATCTCTTAAAACTGCAGCAGCATCATGATTCAGAGGATCCTCATCGTTTGGTTCCTGGTTGGAAATTAAAAAACAGGGTAAGAAGACAACTTATGACTTTTAAATGTTCCCAAAACTGAAGCATTTTACTAATGAGGCTTATTTATACCGTGAACAGATGGTAGAGTCCATAAATAACAGTGTTAATATTGAGAACAGGTTTCCAATCTTCTCGTAAGATGTTGAGGCAGACGTTTCCTTCCAAGTCGATGTTTGGATGGTAGACCTGCATAAAGTACAAGTTAGTATATACAAAAAAATTTCATTTATATTCTGAAAGGAACAAATGCTAAAGGTAAGGAGCCATCCAGGTTTACCTTTGTCCTGCACTTGACCTTCGGGGCTTCATGCGGATAGATGGGGGAAACTGTAAAGGAGAACAAAAATGTGCCTCCTCTGTAATATAGAGAAAAGCAAGCAGTTAGGAATATTGGCAAGTAAATATTAAGAATGCTATTAAGATATTAAGAAGGCAGGAAAGCATATTTGGAGTTGGTTATTGGAAGGCATAAGCAGATGGGAGGAAGAGAATTTGGGATGAGCAGTTTTCTAGAATTAGTTTGTGGGAGAGTACAAGGCTCCTGAAGTGCATCGGAAACTTCCCACTTTCTTTCCATATATCAAGAGTATTTTGTGTTAGTTTCCATTTCAATTTCTGGTTTGGAGTTAACATCTAGACTGTGAAAGAAATTAACAAAAGGAGGAAAATAGCCTCAACTAGCAGGCAACAATTTAAGCTAAAAAGACTGCAGATTGCTTGAGTATGAATCTTGGAGAAAAGAGAATTCTTACAAATAATATCCCTCATCTGGTCGTATTGACACTTCAAAGTTCATCAGGTCATCCTTGCCATTGGGAAAGGTTATGCTACATGATTTTGGTAGATTCAGCTCACTAATATCTGCAACAGATCAGGGTCCAATAATAACTAACCGACAAGGTATGTCCCTCTCAAATAGGCATACAAGTAAAGAAAATAGTTGAAAAACAACTCCAACTGAATAAACAGACTTCCAGTGCCATATGCTGGAGTGTGACTTATCTCAAATGCAATTGGAGAAATCATCTAAATAAAGAACGCACGACTAGATAACAAAGGCAGTGAAATTTGGACATCCCTCTCAACATAAGTCATACGTTATATAATAAACATTAAAAATAAAAACAAAATAAAAAAAATAGGTCACTCCAAGCTTCTAATGCATGAATTTTTAACTATCCAGGTTCTTTTGGGCATTAATGCCCCCATCGCTTCTGAATGTGACAAGACAACATCATATATGATCATAATCTTCATTGACATTTAAGAAACAGATGACATCTTAGGATGGAACACTTTTTTCAAACATTAGCAAAGTTTACAGTTTCACTTAAGTCAAACAATTTAATAACAGCTACTCAATTGAATTGAGACTGTTTGAAAAAATCATTCGTGGTTAAATTAGTGGAAGAAACCAAAATTAACTTCTAATGCTACCACCAACTTTTATATACTGAAAAGATCGTTTTGGGTTTTCACTCCCCATATCATCAGACATCAAGCAAAGTTATTAATTCTTGGCATTCTCATGCACCATGCATCTCAAAAGTTTTCACGAGTAACTTCCCACGAGGACATCCTCTCACTTAATTTTCTTCCAATGTACTGAGTGTAAAGAACCCTGGCAGGTTCACCTAGCCTTGCAGGCATCCACATGATTTTCCAGGATCCATAAAAGTGTAGTCTAGCAGAAAGTGACAAAAATGTGACTATGAGCAACCAAATTGACAGACATAATTCCCAGTTGGAGGGTAGTACATGGAAATCCACACACTAAAACATACCAGTTAACTGCTAGGCCGGGGCACCGAGCATTACCAAAAACTTAAAAAATACACGCTGACCATCGATCTTTATATAAACTCAGGACATTCATGCATCTTAGAACAACCTCAAATAATCATATACTATCATAAGTGCATAGAACGCACATTGGGAAATATGGTCTTTGAATATAAGATTTCTTATTTATACATGAAATCTCAAGCTACTTCATCAAAATTGAGGTTTTCAAAAAAAATATGCTGAAGTTTGCAATATTTAACCAGTTAACATGCATTCCTACACCCAATCCACAGAAAAGAAGCTTCAAAGTTGCAACTCAAAATCTATTATCGATGTAAACAAAACGAATTTGATATAGTTCCAAACAAAACCATCATCTCTAATGGGATCAAAACTATCACCTCATTGCTTCTCAATGGAATAAAAAGAACCAAATAAACTATTTTCATAGCCAAACCTTTGTGAAGACGTAGTTCTCCAGCACTTTGCTTCTTTATAGGTACCCCATTACTAGCATTTTCAGCAAGTTCTCTCTGCTTCTCCTTAACTTTAAACAGCTTAATCATATCTCCTGCAGCAGAGTATGCAATTAGACCCCATGAATATATTGTGTTCTTTCAAAAACCTTCCTCCCTTCAAGGATAAGAAACCAGCGTTCATTAGCAAGAATATAACAACGAAAAAGCAAGGTCAGACCACCCAAGAATAGGTTAACAATACCATAGTAGCACCTAAAAAAAAGGAGCCCCAGCTGCATGTTGTAAGAGAGAGAGAGAGAGAATTTACTAACAACTTATTATAAGAAATCCAATCAGTAAATCGCACTCCAAACCTCCATCAGAAACCCCTCCATATCTTGAAAAACCCTTCCAATCCTCTCCAATAAAAAAAGATCATAACACAACTTAGAGAACAGCCTGTGAGGGCAATGTGCATCTCTCTCGAAGCAGGGGATGCAACAAAATCTCTTCAAGCATATAACAACATCATGGACTCGTGACTGAGATCCAACAGAATGCCAATTCCAAATTAACAACAAAAAGCTAAGCTACCTCTCCATGGCAAACGAAAAACGCAAATGATAAGGTTCTGATCCTCCAATCCTCTCTAGAAGGAACACCACTTAGAAATTCAGGCTACAAAGCCAACGAACAAAACATTCGCATGGAAGAAACTGTTTACATAATGCACAGTCCCAACACAAAAAATCATCCCAAACAAATAATCATATCCAAATCTTGATTTAGAAAACGAAAAACGAAAAACGAAAAACAAAATTGGTACAAATCAAAGCCACCATACTTCCAATGCGATTTCGCGAGTAATTAAATTTAAATTACGTTTCTAATCACTATCGAGCAATCCACAGCCTAGGTTCCCAAAACCAAACCAACAGCAAAGAATTGAATAAACAAATAATGCCGCAAAAGATCGTAAGAAAGAACCTGATGAGGAAGAAGTAAAACGCATAAAAAAATTGCAGTAAACGAGAAATCGAGAGGCAAAAAGGGTTGTTAAGAAGCAAACCTGTAAGTCGTAGCAATATAGAGGAAAGGAAAGGAGATGAGAGGGAATTTAGGTCTGAGAAGGAAGAAGGATAGGAGAGGGTCTGAGGGCTGGCGAGCAAGCAGTCTGGCGAGCGTGGCTGAGCCCTACGGTCAACATATAAATGTTGCCTTCGATCGGACTGTCGCACAGAATTCCCGGATTTTTCTTGAGCTTTTTTGTTACGCTGCTTTTCAGTTTTTAAATATTATTATATATTCATCATTTATATCCTTATTCCATTTTAATCATTAAATTTTCACAATATTATACTTTTAAAAGCTAAATTGTTGTTTAATTGGAAAACTAAAATAAAAATTCTTAAAATTCACTCATCAAAATTATAAAAAAAAAAAAAATAGAAACTTCTCGAGCTAAACCATATATATTATACGTAAATTTAGACGTACCGAACGAACTCAATTTTAAATAGACTTTGTATCTAAATTTGTTTTCAAACCAGTGGTTCACGGGATAACGTTAATGTGACTTTATGAGTGGACGGAGAATCATAGGAATGTTGGCGACATTTTTTGTACTCGAAGTTCATGTGCAAATTTTGCAAGCCAATTTTCTTCTTTTGAGCCGACAACACCAACTATTGTTGTTAGAAAATCACAAAAGTTACCTTCTCTAGACTTAATGTAGATATTTACATAAAAACCCTTAAGTTTTATACATTTTCCTAAGTGAATTAGCTTAAATATGAACAGATTCATAATGAATTAGAGAAACGCACATCGAGGGCATATCTGGTGTCATGGTCGTACTTTTTCGACCATGCGACGTTGTGATCTTGGCAAGTTCACGACAAACTTTAAAGGGAAAATTCAAGTCTCATTCACATTTTTCACCGAACTTTCGACGAGATTTATCTTCACAAACCGAACACAACTTATACAAATTTTAAGCTTGTTCGATCACACATACATCACGTGCATGCATGACATGTCCCATCTTGTGGTGGGCTTCCTCCTCAGGAAAAAAAACATAAAAAAGAAAATCAATCCATTTACTTGGTAAGGCATTAACAACTTCCTCTAAATGAAAATTCCAATTTCCAATTAATTTTTTCATAATAAAAGAAAAAAAGAAAAAAGATTCCATTTAAAAAAAAAAAAAATCATAATTATCAGCACAAAATTATTCATTGTATCTATTTTTCTTTAATGGTAAGTATCCTGTAAAGCACTTGTTAAGCAATCAAATTTAGATACAAAGCTGAAATTTTATGGAATGGAAAATATAGAATAAAAATAACATTTATGGAAGCATTTTCCAAATAATATCTCTAATCTAAAATAAATAAATAATTAATTAAAAATACCATTATTATTAATTAATGCCAAGCATTAAATTTTCATTTATGTAATGTTCTTGAAGACGGTTTAAAATTATTCTTACTCAAAATATAATATTTTTGTTGCGTATAATAATCGATTTCTAGCTTAAATTTGTTTAAAATTCAACTAGACATCTCTAGCTTGTTAAGCAAGAACGAAGCGATTTTAGTTACGTTTATGGTGCAAATGAATGTAATATTACGAATATACCCATCAAATTTTAATATAATATAGTATAAGAATGTGAGAGAGGGAAATTTGAGACATTGACATTGATGAAAAGAAGACAATAAAGGTTGAGAAGAAAACAAACATTAATTCACATTTTTTTTTTCATCTCTAAAACAAGACATGCTCAACGACAAATCCACCTCGTTTTTGCAACACTCTGTGTTAAAAGATCTGTTCTTTTTCAACCCCTCAATTTTGCCTATAGGCTATGTAATTTGACAGGGCAATTAACGGCTCCGCCTTCGCCGGATCAAATCCGGCCAGCGCTTCTCCGGCTTCTCTCTTTAACGTCTCTGCAAATTCCTTTGATTTTTCGATTCCGAGTAATTTTGGATATGTCGCTTTGTCCGCCGCCAGGTCTTTTCCGGCCGTCTTCCCCAATTCCTCCGACGACTTTGTCACATCTAGAATGTCGTCTACCACTTGGAAGAGTAATCCGATCTGTCGGGCGAATTTCCTCACCTTCTCCACTTCGGTGTTGCTTCCGCCGCCTAGGATTGCTCCCATGACGGCGGCGGCTTCCAGAAGCGCTGCCGTTTTGTGTATGTGGATGTACTCGAGGAGTTCCAATCCGACGTCGTTAGAGCCTTCGGAGTCTATGTCCACCACTTGCCCCGCGACTAACCCTGATGTTCCGGTGGCTTTTGCCAATTCTCCGATTGCTTGGACCACTCTCTCCGGCGATACGCCCGCCTCTGTCGCCACTGCGATGTGCTCAAATGCGAAGGCTAAAAGAGCGTCACCGGCGAGGATGGCTATGTCCTCACCAAACATGCGGTGGCTCGTCGGCTTTCCACGCCGGAGGTCGTCGTTGTCCATGCATGGAAGGTCATCGTGGATCAAAGACATGGTGTGGATCATTTCGGTGGCACAAGCGGCCGGCATGGCGGCGGACTCAGAACCACCAACAAGCTCGCAGGCGGCGAGACAGAGCACTGGCCGTACACGCTTCCCACCGGCGAGGAGAGAGTAACGCATAGCTTCGTGAATCTTCAGTGGGTCCCGCAGGGAAACGGCGTCGTTCAAAGCTTGATTTACCAAATCAGCCTTCTGCACCATGTAGTGTTTGAAACTGAAGATCCCTTTTTGGTCATTTTCTTCAACAACCGGGCGGAGCTCTGTTTCTACTCTGGTTTGCGCCGCCGATATCCGGAGATTAAAGGAAGGTTTTTTAATGGATTTGGAGGAAAAAGACGACAAGGGGTTCCATGGATGAAGAAAAGAAAAGGATTTTGGATTGAATTTCTGAGAATTGTTGAAAACAGAGTTGCTCTGAATCAATGGATTCGCGAAACTGACAGAGCTCATCTTTCTTCTTCTTCTTCTTTTCTCTGTACAGAGAGAAACAGAGGGAGTTTGTGAATCAGCAAACACAAAGGGACTTCGCTTTATATAGGAATCTGCGAGAATTCAGATATCATATACCATATCAACCTTTTTATATATATATATATATATATATATATATATTGTCTATTACATGTCGAACTTTATTCTATTTTATTATAATAATTATTTTCCAATTATGGTAATGAAATTGATTATTTAAATTCGACGAATGAACTTATTATAAACGACATCTTTATAAATTGCAAGTTTTAAAGGTTAAATAATAATAATAATAAATGTATTATTTTTTTTATTGAAGTTTTTTATGGTAAATTAAATTTCTAATAAAATTTATGACTTAAATTGTTATGTACATAAGAAACTAAAATTAATTTTTAAACTATGTCAAGGTTTCAAAGAATATATATCAGATAAAAATTAAATTGAAAATTAGCCTTGTAAACATTATTTTTATTAATATTATTTACTTTTTACCATGTTCTCAAAATCTTTGGAATAAAAAAAATCTTAAAATTGGTTAATAATTCATATATTTTTCTTGATAAAAATAAAAACAATAGAAATAAATAGGACGAAAAAAGTACAATCTTCCAAAAAGAAAAACCAACCATCAAATGATTATTATACAATATAATAAATTTATTAGATATAAAATAAAAAATGGAATGATATAATATATTTAAAATTCAAATATAATAAAATAAATTAGGATTAAATCCTCTATATAGTTTTTTTTTTTTTTTT